CAAAAAATTTCCCCCCTCGCGCGGGGGCGCATGAGGAAGATTCTGCACCTCTGATCCAGATCTTCGACCTAAGAAATCAATCGATTAATTTATTTAAAATATTGTCATTTCACTCGCTCATTATCATTCGAATCTTAATGAGCTAGATAAATATCAATACATCTATAATAAAAAGCAATCATGCTATCTAAACATTTCTTAAGAAAACGTCTATAAAACTAGCAAACTATGGAGATGGTGTGCACGATAGTTTTTGTTTTATGGACATTTATACCCACAGCATTCTTGAAATATTTTGTTCTCATGAAGTTTTTCGAAATTCACAGAAGCTCAAACTTTTACTTCAGACACAATGTTAAAAAAAATAATTATTCAAAACGAATGATCGAGAGCATCAGTGTCTTGATCAAATATTACCAAACGCAATGAAAATAATGATTAATAAAGAATCTTTGAGTACGTTAGCTTGCTCGAACAAAGATCGAACCTATTTCAATTTTTGACGGTTGACATCAGTGCCGATACCAATTCTTCTATTGTTGGATAGTATTATTTGATATAGTCAACTTGCCACCACCTTCCAGACCTTAGTTTTCTAGGATTTATTTGAATTTTTCAATTACCGGGTACAAAGGCTTTCGAAAGTGCAACCGATAGCAGCCCCTTTTAAGTTTCGTTATTGTAGAGTTCTTTTCAGTGTACTGAGTAGATTTTGAGACTCAAAAGTAGTCTTTAAGCATGAAAAAGATCGAGAAGAAATCATTTGTACGTAACAGAAATAGAGAAAACTTACAGTTATCCGCATTTTTCTCAAACCAATATTTTGCATGAAAAAAAAGTACAGAAACGTTTCTGTTTCTCCGATCTAGTAGATTTGATGGAGCTGAAACTTTTTTTTTCATATACTAGTCATTATTAAGAATGCCTACTGCTGGTAAAAGTTTTTCAATTCTATCTAACGTCGTATTTAGGAGAAGCGAGGGCGGAAATTTCAACCATTTTTCGCGCTTGTGATCCCAATATCTCATAGAAGATAGAATCAAGGAATTCAGTGTGTATGACAACTTCTGCTGCATTTGGCAAGATCGATGTCCATTTTTTTCGGTAAAACTTTGAGAACAAAGAAAATCGATATACGCAATGGAGTGCTGTCAGATGTATTTCTATGGTTTACTGTTTGCCCATGTCATGCATTAATATCAAAATGAAATCTGTTGTTTGTCATCAAAAAAGGATCAAAAAAATCATATAAAATCGTATTACACAACAATCACAACAAAAAAAGACTGACACTAAATAATGAATAATGAGATGGTGCTTCTAAATCTGAGTTGTTTTTGAAGCGATGGTAAGAATAAGTCAAATAAATTAGACAGTTCAACTTCCTAATACAGTTAGAGAAAGGAAGGAAGTCTTTGAAAAACGATGTTGGATCTGCGGATCACGAAAGAAAGTTAAATTCTAATCTTCATAAAAAACTTTTATGGAAGGAAACGCCATAAATTTAATTTTTGGTAACCAAATTATCCAAATACGTATCTGATCAAGGATGAAGTTTGTTCAAGGATGTTCAAATTATTTTGATTTCAATGCTGCGGCTTTGATATTAGTAACACTTAACACAAATGAAGCAAAACTTTTCCGGTGCTTGTTCATTCGTATCAAACTGTTCAGTTATGTTAAAGAAGAAGTGAAATCGAAGTTCTCAGAGAAGTCTCGTCTGTAAGTATTTCATACTCAAAAGTCGATTGAAAACAACTCCTGAAAAGAATTCGACAACAATCTGCTTTCTTGTAATTTACAAGAATATAAAGGGTGTTCCATAATAACTGACGATAAATTGTTATTCATATTTTTCATACTTTTTCTTGACATAGAGGGCTGAAATTTTTATCACATATATATCTAATGAAGATCTTCTGTTTCTGAAAGTTTCAGGTCTCTAGCTATGACTACTGTTGAAATACATCAACAACATTCAAATATATAAATTTTCGAAATCGATTTTTCAATACTTTTTATTGTGAAAATGTTGCAGAATATTTCCATAAGTAGTTAACCAAAAAATCACAAACTGCTCAGAAAATTTTTTTTTCGTATCAGAATTTGTAGAGCTTTTCCCGCTGATCATTTTGGTAAAAAAACTTTTCCAATTTCATTGAGAAATGACGATGTTATAGGCAAAATACTAAACACTTTAAAATAGGTTAAAGCGTAAGGAAGTCGATTCGTATATCTCAAAATGTGGCTATATTCTGGAGAAATGTGACTTAGTAGGTTTTGTAGAGGAAACCTTGCTCTACAAGATCCTATAGTCCGTTTCTGAAATATAAGCAAATAGGATGAATAATTCTCGATTGAACATTGTATGTGATATTTCTATGAAAAAAATCTGACATCTTCTATTTTTTGCGATAAATATTTTGACTATAACATCGTCATTTCTCAATGAAATTCGAAACATGTTTTTACTAAAATGATCAGCAGAAAAAGCTCTACAAATTCTGATATGAAAGAAAATTTTCTGAATACTTTGTGAGTTTTTGGTTAACTACCTATGTAACTGCCCCGCTAGGTCGATTACGAAAATTCATGTATTCAAATGTGGTCGATGTATTTCACCAGTAGTTATAGCTAGAGACCTGAAACTTTCAGAAACAGAAGATCTTCATTAGATATATATGTGATAAAAATTTCAGCCCTCTATGTCAAGAAAAAGTATGAAAAATATGAATAACAATTTATCGTCAGTTATTATGAAACACCCTTTATATCGTTTAACGTTTTCGTCAACAGAAACATTAGAAAGAAATTGAAATATTATTCAATGAATATCAAATATACCCTAAGAGCTCTTTGTTGAATACATCGGAATGATGTAATAAATCTTACATAAAAAATTATTTAATTCTGCCATTTGTTACCGAGATACTATGGAAATTTTACTCATATTCTTACTTCATGAATTTATCAGTGATATCCATACAACTATTATGTAACATTGAATTATGTTGATTATAATAAGTTACAGATTGGAATAAAGAAGTTTAATAATGATTATGACATTGTAGGATAATGTACAGACTCAAATCACGATCATTAGTTATTGGCACATGGTTGTATTCATTGTTGATGGATATCAATTCGTTCAACTAATTTCAATAAGACACAAATAGAAACTATTGTATTAGTGTTCGGAGCTTTGTCTTATTTCTTTAATTTCAATAAAATAGTCGTATCAAATAAATTTAGACTGTGTTCGTCTTGTAAACAAACCTAATCGAGCAACAACAAACACTTTCGTTCATACGATCAATAGCATCAACAGATTGGGATATCGAATTTAATCAAGAATTATCGTTGGCGAGAAGTTTTTTATGTGACCTATAGAATCTTTTTGACATGCAAAATGTAAAAGAATAAAATTCCAAGGGAGAAAAAAACAAAAAACGAACAAAATCTATTCAATAGATGAAGAACGATATCAGACTAGAATTTAAGTTGCTTATTACTATAAGTACTCCAAAATCTTTTCTAGTAATTTATCCTTTAAACAAAATTTATTGTCTTACCAAGATTACCAAAGTTGATTATTTTCCAAAACCAACTATCTCAAAAAATTTTTTTTTTTACTATTTTTGATACAGTGTTTTCTGATGCCTTTTTCATTAATATGAGTGAAGTATATTCACAACGTTATTTATAGGCTCCCTCTAATAACTATTTGCCATCTTGTTTCTCTTTTCATTTATCTCCTTTTTTACCTATCTGTTTGTTCATGCGACGAGAATACGAAATAAATGAGTGAAAGAAATGAAAACTATGTTGATAATTGTTTACATTGAATGGCAAATGACGAATTAGATTCTTTAGAGCATCAACATGACAAGACGAATTCGTCTAGTTTATCAATCAGAAAAATTGACAGAATCTTAATAACCTTACTCATGATTGCTGTTATTACTTTTCTATCTTTCTATGCTTCACACTCACATGTAATTTAGTTCGGTAGTTGAAAGCTACTATTGCTCACCATGTGATGCACGCAACACAGAAAAAGGTGAAAATAAGTATCACGAGAAAAAATAACACTCAAGAACAAGCGTCGGTTGGAAAAAACCCACTGATTTTTCACCCAATAATTCACACGCTTTATGATCCATCATTGATCAAATAAAAACAAGCATCCAACGTTAAAAGCTTGATTTGAGCGTAAGTAGACTGTAGGTATCATTTGGTTTTTCTGCATTGTATTACCAACGATAACTAACACTCACATTGTCTGACGGAAAGAATAACGATGACTCTATTCATCACTAGAGACAATGGAAAAGATCACCAAATGTCACTATTTCTTTTTTATTGCATATAACTCTGTTCATGAGAACATACTACAAATACGGAGGAACAACAATAGAAGTTAGATACAATCATGAAAATTAAGACTCTAAACAGAACAACAATCTGATTGACTAAATGAAAAACACTAAGATTCGAAACAAAGTTATTTTTCTATATTTTCGGAGCAAAAGAGTAATTGAAAAGATGAAGACTGTAGCCAGGTAACAATAGTCTTATACGGGTAAGAATTTGGATGTGGGTGATTCATTGGTATTCCGTAGATGATGTAACTTCTAAACTCACAAGCTCTATACAGACTCTAATAAGGGCTACTTTTACATTAAATACGAATAATTTTGTCATTAAAAATAACTTAATCGTGAAGAGTTAGTCGTAATGTCTACACATGAAACAATAAGATTCATCATATTGCTTTACCAATGTAACGTCATCCATGCGTTCTCTTCCTTTTTTTTGTTTTGACCATGCGTTGTTTTCGTAAAATAATAACGAAACGTCATACTCACATGATAAAGGTGAATTCAATTTTTTCGGAGTGTCCTCTAACGTCATGCATAGGTAAAAGGAAATTATCTCCGTCTGGTGAAAAGTTTCTTCATTAGGATTAACTATTGGATTTTTTAATATTTATTTTGTTGATGAATAGTACTGAACGTTGGACAATTTGTCGTCAAAATATGGGGAACATACTGGAATCATTAAAAAAACACGTATTTCGTCGCCGTGAAAGAAAACACACTTATTCTCGTTTTCAAAGGTATCATGAGGAGCGTCTTCCTATCAAAAAATTAACATCAGTTAATCATAACACACAAGAGCTTGATCCATTAGTAGTGTCTACCACAACAATACAAGCAACGGATTTACCAAATGGTTATACCGATTTTTATTTAGCATGTCGTGATAATGACTATAAGAAAGTTCGAGAGTTACTTCGAACAATGACACTTGACGAGGTAGATCGTTTGGACTCAAACGGTAGTACAGCACTGCATGCTGCATGTTATTATGGTAATGCTAAAATTGTTAAACTGTTATTGAAAAAAGGAGCTGACAGAGCAATACAGAATAAATATGAATGTTTACCATATGATGAAGCAGCAAATGATGAGATCAAAGAACTCTTTCTTCGCGTACCAAATAGTAATCGACTTGTATCGGACACTGGTGCTATTGAATGGATATTGATTGATGATGATGTTATGGAAACAGCGAAAGAAGAGCGATACATCATTAAATCACTGTATGACAATAGCACAGGTACTACTCCTATAGATAAAATGTTCGAAAAAATTGAAAAAAATTATATCAATAAAGGATTAACTAATGTTGGCGGTATGAAACAGATCAGACGTTATTTTCGAAAAGCTACTGAACAGCAAAATACATTATGGATAATCAAAGCTTATACAGCTGAAACAGATTTCTATAGAATTTTGAATAATGAAATAGCAGCTGGTGCTAGTCAGTATCAAAATGAACGAAGATATATTATAGCATTAATTTCACATGATATACGTTTGAACGAACTCACTTTTATCGGTACTGCTTATCGAGTCGTGCGAATAAATAATGATGAGTTAAAAAAATATGAAGTTGATTGTTCGTTAATGACAAAATCATTTGTGTCATCATCCATCGATCGAAAAGTTGCCGAATTATTTTTATGTCAAAGAGAAGCAACACAATCAGAAACTCAAGTGATGACACGCAAGAAAATTGATGGAACATTGATAAAAACATGGATTATGTGTAGATATGAAATCAAACATAGACGCACTGGTCTACATATTGAAAATCCATCACAATATGCGAACGAAGGTGAAGTCTTGATTATGCCATATTCTGTGTTCCAAGTGAAAGAAATAAGAAAAGTTCAACTACCATTTTTTGAAGATGATCAATTTATGACTGAAATCGATCTAGAAGAATGTGATCAATATTTATAAATATAATCAAGAAAGCCAAACGAAATTAAGCATTAACCATTTTTTTTTTTGTAGTTTTTAGTAGTTCTCAGTTTGTTTTTTTCTCATTATCATTTTTTAATATTAAGAATAATCGTGATTAAACAACTTCAATGATTAAAAATAGAGATCTGCCCCTAGAGACCATCATATTCACACTCGGCTATATAAAGATTTCTGGTATTTATTTCAACGTCAAAAAAGAAATTAAAAATAAGAATGAGGATGGTGATAGAGATGTGTAATTTTAGTTTACTACTCATCGAATTATATTATTTAGTGCAAACTAGCACCAGTGTTCACTAACGCAGTGGAACACACCGTTACCGGCAGATGTCTTAATGTAGTAGCAATCATGTATGTTGGTGGATGTGGTTGTGGGCGAGTGGGAGGTGTGGTTGTTACTCTAGATTTCCCCTACAAGACAACTAGCATACTTTCAAGAAAACTAATACCTATAGCCGCACATATACTCGTGCCCTATACTAAATATCTTTCATAGGTTACAGAAAATGTGAAAGAGCAGGAAAAGTACCGAAACTGAAAAACCTCAATCTTTCAATCTGACTTTGATGTCAAACTGCTGTAAATTTTCCTAGAATCACTTTAGATTACAGATTTTTCTTAAGTCAGCTAGAAAAAGAATATAAAAATATTAACTACGAGTCTCACTAGAGGGTTTATCGACAGATTTTTTTTCATCTCATTTTGATTTTATGTTAAAACAAATATGATTGGATGTAATGTTAATAGTTGCATTATATTCAGAAGAATGGGGTTCGACATGACAAAAATGTGTCATTAGATAGGTAGTTTCTTGATATTTGAAGTGAATAGATGACTTTGAAGTTTGATTATTGGAAATGAGATTTATTTGAATTTAAGGATAGATTGACATTATCTACATATTAATTGTTGTTCGAACCGAATGAAATGGTGGTTTTTCTAACATGAATTTAAATTAATCGTGAAAAGTAAAGAGCTAAAAAACTTTTATTCATTTTTTGTGATTAAAAAAAGTTTGATAAAAACATCTGTCGCCCTTTCATTAAGTCCTATTAGTCATAATATCAGAATAAATTTTTTTTTGTTTTTGATTATTTGATAATAGTTTGATGCTCATTTCTATTTCTACCGTTTATCTGTATAGAATTCGCCTAATTTTTTTCCAACGGGTACTGAAAGATAGTTTAGTTCAAACCCGTGCATGTGATTCAATTGAATATAAAGAGCAATCTATGAGATTCGTTTTGGGTGTGGGTGTTGGTGTGTGGGTGTGGGTGTGGGTGTGTCTTTACTTCATCCACACCCACATCTCCGCACCCACACCCCACACCCGCACCCTGCTTCATTCGCTTAGGGTTCAGAGTTTTTCTGTATATTAATATAGATGTCTGCTACCTTTGAAATATTAATCAATCAATTAGTATCATTTGATTGAGTCAGATGTGACTCATCTAATCTCGTCTGCAGCAGAGTAATTAAGAAAAGTTATGCTTTCTTCAGATTATAAACTATTTTATGATTAGATCTACATCAAATATTTCATCTAAAGATTAGTTTTATAACTTGTGCTGTATACGAAATCTATAATCTTCGATCTATAACTTGATACCATTAAAAAAAGGAAAAACATTAAAATTTTTCAAGAATCTAAAGTATCTGCTACGGTAGAAAAACCACATCGTTATATAGATCTTCATTAAGAGAGAGTCCACCACAGGATCGAGAAACCCCATACTCCCAAAAAAAAATTTTTTTTTTACGGATTAAAAACTTTTTGTTTTAGGCTGGTTTTCTAGCATTTTTATTGTCCCATTCGATGCACGATCCAAATTTCTGGGATCAACTAACCTTGAGAGATAATATCTCAAAATACTGACTTTTGCTTGATGACTACGTAGTATCAATTCTGATTTAATCAGTGTGTAGTCATCAGTATGGTCCTCATAACTTTGTTTGTTATATGATCAATCGAGCTAATATTTTGGGTATAGTAGTTTCACCTCATGGACTATCAATTCCACAAATAAAATGAGGGGGTCAAAATTTTTGGGAGTATGGGTCCTTTAAAAATTCCTCGATGGTCTCATGGACGCCCTCTTAATCCTCTTCACTCATGTATAATTTATAGTCAATAGTTCTCATTTTTATATGTTAGAATCTTTAATACTAATTAGATTAGATTGACAACTAATATTTTATTTATGATTTATTCTACAATGTATCAAAGATAAATTTTTTTCTTGATGAAAAATGTCATTGTTTGTTGAGTGTGCATGACATCTAAAGCTAGCTTTATTCCCTTTATCTGAAAGTGCAATCCAAATTCATGTAATATTTAACAAAATTTCAGAAATTGACTGACAATTCGAATTTTCATGTTTTTTTTGATCAACATCTGTCAACTACTACTCAACTTTAGACTTATCTTTTTTGATTTCGTCAATATTTCAGAATATATTTGAAAAGAGCGTTCAAAACTCTACATACTTCATACGAAAAATCGATAAACTATTTATAACTCTCATTGCAATATATGCACTTTCTACAAACAAGATTAAGTCCATACCTTTTAATGCCTTTGAATTTCTAATCAGAGTTTTCTCTATGTTCAACATTTTGAGTTATCGATCTGTCATTAATTTTTTGTATCAGTGGTATTCAGAATTCAAATCTAGAAGCAAGAGAGAAAAAGTACTACTCTAGTATTTCATTGTAATTTCGAAGTTGGAAAAATATGGCATTCTTCATCAGGAAAAAAATATCATCTTTAGCACTACATACTAGAGATTAATGCAACTTAAGATCTGCTTGTGTGTAATGAATTATATTTTTTAAATTTATCAACTGCCTGTTTCAGACATTTTGTTAATGTTCGTATTGATGAGCAGATATGCAAACAGTTTTGAAAATGATTCTGTAAGAGTATAAAGATCGAGGATCATTTCAAAAATATTCTTTATTATTTAATTATATCCTATATTCATTACTACGTCATTGATGTTAAGAAAACGAAAGCTTTCATGTCTGGTGAACTCTGTTTTACTTAAAGAGCAAAAAGAGAAGTCTTTAAGAAATATATTAGAATTTTATGCATCATTTATATTTGAGATAAAAATTCAATTAAAGTCTAAATTGTTTCAATAGATCTATATTAGAAAATCTAGTTTTAATCTAATGAAGGTATTTGTATTTGATTTCATCAAAGATTGTTGCATAAACCGATTGAATCAATAATTATTATATCATTCTTTTGACAGTAGAAACAAATAATATTTTTAGGATAAATTTGATACTGATTGACTTTATTTTACTTTGTGAAAATTGAAAATAAAAACCTTTCGATTTAATTAGTTTAGGTCTTTCATTGCATATACATCATAGCAAGCTTATTCCAACAATAATCTACATGTACTGCTATATTATGAAACTTATATTTCATCAGATACAAGAATTGAACAATGAATTATAAATTATACATTTGATCGTCTTTTCTAATCAATGATAAAGATCTTAGCATTCGAAAAGTACTAAGTCTTACAACAAATTTTATATCAATCAATAAGACTGAAGAAAAACTATAGAACGACGAAACTTTTATCAATGATACATGTTTTAATCTCATAAAAAAAAATGGGAGACAATATTCTCCTGTACGCAACATACCTTTAGTTCTGGAAAAGTTTCAAAATTGAACTTCTTCTTAATTATACTTGAGTATATATCTAATGCGAGATCTTTTCAAAATTGACTGCATAATATAGATTCTGAATGTGATACAAATCATAGAGCATATCCTTAAATGTAATTTTTCATACAAAACTTGTTTTGCAAGTTTTCATGATCTAAAGAAAATATTATTTTTTTATCAGAATGTCGCAGATGTTATCAAATAGAACATATACGAATCCATTAAATAATAACAGTGTCGACAAATACATAAAATACTAATGGAATATTTTTACACCATACTTACTTTTTTTTAGGGTGTGGATGTAGATGTGCCTGTAACTGAAGTTAATGTCCACATCCAAATCCTTATTTACCAAGAAAATATCTTACTAGATGGTAAATTAACTTTTGATTATTTGGCAGTCATCAATTGGAAAAAAAGCAGTAACTCTTTCCACATCTATAGATGAAGTATTTTATCGAAGATTTATATAATTCTTAGCTAATCAGGTACACTCTATCACACATTATAAATAGAGGTTTTGAGTGTGGCTGTATGTATGGATGTAGATAATATTAATGAATAATGAAAACATTGCCAACTGTATCCAAACTCGTACGTCAACATTTATGCTCATACTCACATCCACGTGTAACTATCCTATGGATAGATAATAGATGATACGTGTTCAAGTGCTAGATCATGATGTCAATTATCAGAGAGAAACAGAAAGAGTTGAACTTTACGAGTTATTCTTGTTGACACATGATTACCTTTTTGAGTGATATCTGATACTTGATGTACAAATATAAATTGATGAACGTTGTTCGGTGCTATCTGAAGCAGAGCTAGAGCAAGTCTTTGTGTGATTTACATGCCATCAGTTTAGATATGATAGGTATGATTGAAGAAGACTTGATATTGATTAACAATGAAATATTATGACTGAATACAAATGGTATGAAGAGAGAATCATTTATTCTCGGTTGAGTTTAAGGTGAAATCCAATTAACTTAGGAATAGAGAAGATCGATTAAACTTGTCGATTTGTAAAGAGAAATGCTTCCCATATAGTCAAGAATATTTGAATAAAACTCGTACAGATTATGGTGAAAAGTTTTTTGATAAGAAATTTATATTATTTTGACTTTGTTGACATTTTGAATAACTGTTCAATTGCATCAGTATGGCATGTTTCGTTCCTAATGTCTAAAGAATCAAGTTGAGTATCAACTATATCATATGTTGTGAATGGTATTATATTTTCTGTATAAAATTCAACATCAGACATGTTTCAAAATGTAGG